GGAGGCCTTGTCAGGCTGCCCCCCCCCCGGCTGCGTTCCCGGCACCCTTTCGCCCGGCGCCCCCCCGTGCTGTGCACTCGGCCTCTTGTCGAGCGGCCCCCTCGCCGTGATCGGACCCCCCCCCGGAATCGGACTTGAGGCCTTATCAGCCCCCCCCCCTCCAGGCTGCGTTGAAAACGCCCTAATGCTCGGCGCCACCCCCGCTTTCGCACTCGGCGTCTTGTCGGGCTGCCCACCCACCGTTTTTGGACTAGAGGCTTTTTCAGGCTGCCCCCCGTCCGGTTGCGCACTCGGGGCCCCGTCGCGCTGCCCCTTCTCGTGTTGCACGCTTGGTGCGACGCCATGCTGGCCCAACCTTTGATGGCCCTGGAGCGCCCCGTTCGCACGCTCTACAAAGGCTCTCAGATTTCCAAAGAACGACTCTTGGTTAAATCTGACCACCAGCTCGCTTGCAAGCAACGGATTAATAATCGCTCGTTGAAAGCACGACCATCGCTCCGCAAGTTCCCCTCCCATGTTCTCTGCTAGATCTTCTAGTAGTTCGCACTGTTCCACAAACTTCGGCCAGTTTCCCGACCCAGGACGGAGATACTTAACCACAACCTCTGTGTGTGCCTCTATCAGCAGAGTGTCCGTTGGCACTGCCAGACCTAGGCCGGCTTTAAGGAGTCTCGTGGAGACGGTTCCCACTCCCTGCATAGTGTGCAGTACGTACAGAAAATCACGGCCAACGTCCCCCTTATCAAGCAGGTCTTTCAGCAGCTTGAGGAGGTGGAATGGGGCGTTGGCGTCTTGCTCGAATGGCGCCGCAAAAGCTTGTACAGCTTGAAGGAACTCTGCAGCTGCTGGTTGAGCTAGCACTGTCCCTTCGGACACTGCGGTACCTGTCAAACGCCAATGACTTTTGTTGCTTTGCTCTGCTTGCAAACATCTGATTTCACTGCTTGTCGTACACCTGGTCTAATCAAAGCCGAAATCGGAGTTTGAGTGTGCCATTGAGCTTTGAAGAGAGCTGATTGCAAACGGAAGTCTTTCTCTAACTTTGTAAGCGCAAATGAACACTCAACACTCAAAAAACTCCAAATTGAAGTTGGTGACTCGTTAAGCAACAATCAATCACAACCGCTTCTCAAAAGTAGAGGCCGAGGCAGCCGACTTTCCATTCTTCTAGTGTAGTAAGCAATGCAGAATCAGCTTGCCTTGCGCACGCTGTGAGAGATGCACTTTAGATTGATCTCCGGGGCCTCCGTGAAGAAGCAACTTTGAAAGAACGGCCAATCGACGACTTATTTTTAGTACAACAAGCAGATTTCAGCTTCTTCGTACCTTGTGCTCCGTCGCGCTCCACTTCTTCAATGAGTTCGTCCAAGGCACCATCCGGTCCGTCATCCCAGTGATCCCCCTCCCCTCCGTTTGATGATGGGCTTGCACCCCTGCCATGGTGAGCTCCCTCCGGTGCGGGGGCTTCCGTCTCGGGGCTTTCCGTGTTTGGCTGGGCCCCACTTCTAGCTTTACACCGGTGAGCCCGTACGGCCGCCGCTGTGGAGTACTCGCCAATGCAGTGCGGGCACGGGAAGGGTTGCGGACCCATTTGCGCCTTGGTCCTTCTCACCCGTCTTGGGGCAGGAGGTTGCCTCAATGCGCCGCTGTCGCAACCTGCGACAGATTAGCAAAGGCTGACAAGATGCCATTTCGTCGAACCTGAATGAATGAGGGAATAGAGATCTATAGCTGATTGCTTCGTGTGACAAGACTCTGCACGGGGACTGGCAAATAGCTTTCCGGGGTGCTCATATGTAAAAGTTGACTTGCAGCACTATATTGACTGGAAGGCTTCGGGCAGCGCTGTATTGACTGGAAGGGTTTAGGCACGAGCAAGAATGTGAAGACTTGCATACTCAAACAGAACCGGGACTTATTTGACAGAGCAGAACCAGTCTTCCTTTCATATCGAGTTGACAGTCAAGTTTGAACAAATTTCTCAATCTCTTGTCCCTGGCCACCGATTAGAGACTCCAAGTCATCATGAGAAAAGTCTTATTCCTAGATTGGCAAGCGTATCTCACCTTCCTGTCCTTGGCCACTGGCTTCAGGAAGCTGCCACGTCATCAGAGCTTTCTCGCCGATGAGCTCGAAAATGGCCACTTTCTGACTGTCGGACCCTTTCAGGCCAGCAGCAACATGCGCCCCCACCACACACCGTTTGAAAACCTCCAGGCAGCCACGCTTCTGCTCTTCTTCCGACATAGTTGTGCCGGCCCCTGCAAACCGTGTACAACTCTAAACTGACTGCCGGCAGCATCACGAAAGCTGGGCTAATACTGAATGCAACAGAGTAGAAAAAGGTTGCCGCACCTGGTCCGCTGCATTTCTGAAGCTTGTCCTCTGTGAGAAACCTTAAGAAAGAGGCCCCAAGCTGGAATGAGCAGACCGGCTACACAAAGGTCCTTGCCTCTTTGTCTACTTGTATTGGCCCGGCGTGCTCACCGAAATGCGTCACAATGTTCCGTGCCATCGCTTCAAGAACAGCGATGGTTTCCTCCGCTTTCAGCTTCCATGCTTTCAAGAGCGGTACAACTGGAGGCCACCATGCCAAGCGCCCACTCGCAGGCCCAAACGCGGCAGTGAAGGATGTGACCGCCATTGGGGGAGAGCACACTGGCCCCAAAGAAGTTACAGCTGCCTTGCGCTCCGGTACAGTGAGGTGCTTGGACAAGAGAGTGGTAAGATCTGCAGGCCGCAAGCTGTCCTGCAAAGCCCAACATAATTGTCAGCCCTTGTCAATCAGGGGCCGCTTCTCAACCAACCCACAGCCTTGCCATGTCATTGCCAGAACTGAAAGCCGCACGAAGGGCACTTAGAGATCAAGCACACCATCTGTACCATCCAGCCTGTGGCCATGCCAAAGGAGCACAACTTTGGCTTCGACAGGATGAAGTGTAATCTGCCACCCTCACCTTAAACTGTTGTGCCGTCAACTTTGAGTTGTTTGCATGCTGCCGGACCTTCTCCATGTAACCCTCTTGTTGCCAGATGGAGCAAGAACCTCATCAAAACCTGTGCACAACATCAGAGCAGTCTGCATTCAGAGTTCCTTAGCAAGTCAGTGGGCATTTGCTGATCAAGTCAAACATGACACAGAAGAGTTACTCTTGAGCCTGTGCCCATTTCAAAAATAGATTCTTTACTGACAGTGAGCGGCTCGCCCATGGGTGTGCTTGTGGAGTGCGAATGCTACTTTAGTGATGTTACCTCTTGGACCCTCTTTTTCAACGTCACAACATATACAGCTAGTAACCAATAACCAGCCAGAATCGTAAGTAAGCAGAGCTCACCAATCCTGATGCTGCCATCCCCGTAAGATATACCCCACACAAACTCTTCGACCCCTGCTCCATTAGCACGACCCTTTGCAAAAAGCTTCTGCAGGCTGGCTTCAAGGCTCCGTCGTTTCCTGTTAACATCTTTCGGACACGCCTGCCTTGTTTTTCCCACCTTTGCACGGACTGGAAGTTTCAAGAGCCCTGCTTCAATGCAGTAGCACCTTAGGGCTGCTGCCTTGTCTTTTGCAACCCGACACGCTTGCCGCATCTGCTTCGGAGCGGTTTCAATCACATCATACCATTCTTCGGGTTCACCGAATATAATCTGCATAAGCTCTCGCGCTTCATCAGCAATCTCGTCATCTCCAAATTCGTCCTCTTCTTGACGGTGGTACCTAGCCATATTCCTTATCTCAACGTGACGTTTCCAGCAGCCCGTAGTTGTTGGATGTTGAAGGCAAACAGCTATCTAGAGAGACTGAGAGCATTCACTACCTGCAAGCTGAGCGAAGCACTGAAGAGCTGACCGGGAACTGGCCATCTCGCTGGTGCATACCTATCCTAGAGGCTAGATCAGAGAAGCAAAGCAGAACGCGCTCAGCCGCCCTATCTCACCCTAGCTACCAGTATTTGAACAGTTTGGCGCCACTTGGTCGCCACGTTGGCATATGGATATGCCCGCGCCACCAAAAATGCTCACGTTGTCACACATGCAGGATATCTAGCTAGGTAGATTATATGCATCGTATACGCACTGCATTTTCCGTTCAGTCAAATTGACACGCTAGCGCTTCATGAAGATGCGCGTACGTGCGATCAAACTGACAGTGGCCACTTTTCTATTTTGAAGAGTTGATATGATTTCGACCGAAATCTATAAACTTAAATGTATGATTTGACCCCGGCCAAAATGATGTAATTATTATGCTTATCAGTCAATTTGATTTACCGGAAGAATTGACAAGTTTTATGCCTGCCGTTTCACGAACCGTCAAGCTTATAGCGGCAATACTGCCGGTCGCTCGGAACAAGCAAAGCTCCAACAACCTCGTCAACCATTACCGTATCAGTCCAGCCGTTCCCGGTTACGATCGAGTCACGTACCGCGCTAGCTGATCAGCTAGGCAGATTTTGCAGGCAATGGCGGCCGCGAGCTCATATACTAGGGCTCATACAGGAAGGCCACTAAGCGCAGCACGCTCTGCTCAATAGATGCAGCCCACTTGCAGTCGTCACGAGGAAAGAAGCTGGAAAAACTGAGCTTTGACGCATGAGTCGGAGTTGTTGAGTTAAGAAACACTCACAATTGTGCACACGGAGGGGGTGGGCTTCATATCATTGCTTCCCAGCTAGAGTTATAAGGTGAGTTAGCCTGCATTGCGCTGCTTTGCACCGGCAGTTGATTCCGACGCCTGCTTGCCTCCTGCATTCTTGAACCGGCCCCCTTGGCAGCGACCGTGAAGGAGCTGGATTGAAAGACTGGGTCAGCTGAATGACGGTGCCTGAACGGCCAATGGCTGCCGCATTGATACCCAAACAGACTTGAGCTGCCGATCAGATCTTTCTGCCTTTACAGCAGCTTTGCAGCATAGAATGCTCCAAGGGTAGAGACTGCTGACTGAAGATGTATCCTGGCTGAAAGCTTTAGGCGGGGGGCTGCAAGTATTTATCTGTCAGCAAGGAGACCTGACCCTGCAAACAAGTCATGGAGTGGAGCTCAAAAGCATAGGCACTCAGGAGGGTGGATCTCAGGAAATAAGAGATTTGAGGATACAGTCCTTTTCCTACCCGTTTCTTTCTGCCTTCCTGGGGTGTTGATTGAACCACTAGCATTTCAGTTGCTGACAATCACAGTATGAGCGACAAGCCACTTAGGTTTCATTCCAGATCAATCAATAGGTGCGGTTGAGTATATCCCTTTCGTTCCTGCCTCATTGTGGTGCAGAGATGCATCCGGAGTCTTCCATGTCAGATTCCCCATTGTATGACCATGTCCGTTTAATCCAAACATATGACCATGTCCGTCCAATCCAAACCATGTATGTTCAACCCACTTTTAATACAAAGAAGTTCAGATTGCTTATCTGGACCACACTTTCTGAGAGATACAATTTGAGAAAGCTGTGGCTAGGGGCATCTCTCAAACAGAATCTGAAAAGAGGGGACCTTACGACTGGCAATTTTGGAATAACTAACGTCGTCTCCTAGTAGGTGCAGAAGGGAGCGAGTGCCCTGATCTACAGAAGGGACCGGGTGCCCTTACCTCAACAAGTCTGGTGAGAGATAGTCCCCTTCTGGTTGGCAGCTAACATGACTCATGTCTCACATATATTACTGTTAATAGAGCGACGCAGTTCTTCAAAGCGACTTACGACTCTAGCAACGAAAGGCAGGCGCCCAGGGAATGGGTGGTTTCGATGCCGGGAGTTAACGATTTCTGCAGGTGCGGAGCGGGTATGTTTTGGGGCTGAGTTTCCCTTTTCTGTACCCAGGTCTTTCTGAACCTTGAGTCACTCAGCAAGTGAACCTCTTGAAAGTGGGACAGTCAAATCCAGGCAATTCATGGTCCTGTGCACCCAAAGTGGGTAGTATTGACGACTCGGTCAATCCGAAAAAGAGTCAGACTCACTGACTGTGCATTTCCTGGTCTTTGCCTTCCGGCGCCTTTTTTGACAGTTGCTTTAAATGCTTGTACATCTTCATTTTCCAACTCTTCTTCCCCCCCCCCCACCACGGAGAAAACAGCCCACTTCTGCAAGCCATGCCCGTGACTCAAGCGCAGGCGGACGCGCTGGCGCACGAGTGGATTGAGGCCTGGAACAGGCACGACATCGACGCCGTGCTCGTCCACTACTCGGATGACGTCATCTTCACGTCACCATTTGCCGTTCAGTTCGCGGGGAAGGAGGACGGGACGGTGCACGGCAAGAAAGAGCTGCGGGCCTACTGGGAGAAGGTGGGGCGGGGCCTTTGTCATTCTTTCCCTTCTTCCTTCCAAACCAGACCAGGTGTTTGAGGTTCTAGGGGAGTTGTCGTCAAACCTGTCCGCTCTGAGGACCCCAGCAGATATGGGCTTTGCACGAAATCCAGATTGACTTGGATCCACGAACTCGGTTGGGTCAATCTACCAGGCAAACCCTCCGCAGTGAACAAGGCCTGAAGGAACCTCCCGGTTGTCCCAACCAATTCGTGTACCGAAAATTTCTGAAAATAGTGCGCGTCGCACCATTTTTCAAATCTGTCCAGGGCGATTACTTTCGATGAAAACTCCAGTAGGGTGTAGGGTAGCACAAGGTCTGGTCCCGAATTGTCCGAGTTGCTGGCGCTTAATAGTGACTGTGTCTCGATCATGTCCTCATTCAATCTATCAAATCTGAGCGTATCTGCTGGTTTGCATTCAGTGAACCGGACGTTCAAGTGCGGTCAACCTTTGCTTAGGCATTCACTTCGGATCGCTCTCCTTCCATTCTTTCGGCCCACTCTGAGATAAGGCTTTTTGTCCCTTCCGGAAAGCCTGAGTTTCAGGACGTCGAACGATCGGACAAAGCTTGTGATAAACGAACTGGCGAGACCCCTAGAAATACCATAAACGTACTCCATCAGGGGGACATAAAACTCACCAACAACGGCCTTCGAAATGGCGATTGGAGTCGTTTCTATCCGTATGGAATTGTTAAGATCGAGCTTTCAACGGGGAAGATCTTCTGAACTCGGCTAAGGCGACCTCCTTCACGAAAGGTTGTTTGGCCCCTCAACAAAATGTTGTTTTGCAAAGATGCGTTCGAGCAAGCTCTTAGTACTCATACGTCTGTGTGCAACCGATCGAAAATAAATCGTCTGCACGTGAGAGCAGCTCTTGACTGTCGCAACAACAGGAGGGCGCCGAGCCGCTTGACACAATTGGCCACTCTGCCTCGCACTTCTGCGCTGTGTCAAAGTTTGAGATTGCCTTACCGACTGCCCCGCAGGAACGGAAGCACCTGACGACCTTCGCCTTTCTTCCAGCCAATCGATGTAGTGAACAGTAAGAGCCAGTAACGGAGACGAGTAGGGTTAGGGTGGGTACGGGTACGGAGCGGGTGTTTTTAGTGAACCCCAAAAAGCTTACTGTTCACTAGATCGAGAAATACCCTTCTTCCGATCCAAAGCTGACCGCGAGTTCCTCCTTCTTACAGGCCTTAGCTGCGCACACCAATCTGCACTTTACACTTCACTCTGCCCTGCCGGGTGTGTCCAGCGTAGTCATCTATTACAAGAGCAGCGTGCGGGACCTTACCGCGGCGGAGACCATGGTACTAGACAGCGACGGGAAGGTCACAAGGGTACTCTGCCACTATTCCTGAAACACAAGGGATTTGTGCGCGTCTACAGGCCTCCCCACAAATAGGATACCGCTTTATATTGTGTTGATTTATTTGCCGGCGAGCACGTTCAGTTTCCTTTCGGTAACGTCGGTTGCCGTGACTGTCCTGGAGCACGTTCAGTTTCCTTTTGGAAACGTCGGTTGCCGTGACTGTCCTGGATCAAGAGTCGAGAATCGTCCGATGTCGCAAGGTCCGAAGTAAGCATCCTCCCCAGGATTTGGAACAGACTTTGAAAAATGGTTCGCGAAGTGCCACATGACCCACTAACACATTTTTGTTGATTACACGGCAAGTAAAGGTTTCCGGGTTGAGATCACTGCCAGACGAGATAAGAACTTGGCAGTTGTACGCGATCTTTTGAAAGTGTGTTCTTGTCGACTCAGTATGCGGCCATGTCCGCGCAGTTGGAAGAAGCAAAGAAAAGTGCGGCGTAAGAAGGATGCCGGCCCGCCCACCCACTGCCAGCGGGCGGGCCGGCCACGCTGTTGCGCGTACTTACTTGCATTCGCATGGAGACCGTACGTTTCAAGGGTTGAAGACTGATTACAAAAGGGCTGGAGTCTGGCCTCATAAAGGTTGGGAACCGATTACAAGTAACTTGAAGCGTCCACTCTCACATATTTGTGCATAGACCATGTTCGATTGCGACTGATGATCACAAAGGCATCGATTGCACACATGCTCGAACGGCCAACTGCTGACTCAAGTTGAGGGCGCGGTTGCAGCTTGAGCTCTTTTGACCGTCTTCGTAATGCACATTACGGCTGCGTTTTTGATTTTATTAACCAGACATACTTCGGTGTGCAATCCGGTGGTATTGATCGGGCAGCCATGTGCATGATCGATATCAGGCCGGTGCGCCAGCCCGCGGGCCGGACGGGGCAGCATAAATCTGCGGCCAGCCTGTGCAGTATATATGA